CATGTAAGTCTACACAAGTTCCCAAAAGATGAGAAACTTTTGAGAATTTGGACAACGAAAGTCCAACTCACAAGGGCAAAGTGGTCGGGGCCATCCGCAAGAAGTGTAATATGCAGCGCTCACTTCAACGAGAGTGATTTCGAGACTGCGCTCCACTGGAAATTTGGCAAGAAGAGAGCAAGAAAGCTGAAGGCAAATGCCACACCCACCAAGATTAAGCCAAGAAACCCCTCTACAGAAGTTGAGAAACGGAGGAGGGAAACTTCAGAGAAACGTGAAAAGAGACGGGTGAGTTGACGGCCTGTCCGGAATTTGGGCACGTTGCCACGTGTGCTCATGTACATGTACATAGGTACGTAGCCTAGCCTACATGTACATCATGTACATGCGTTACATTTACAGTACAGGTATTTGTATGCAAACATTATTCCTCCATGATGGACATGGAGGAACCTTAAAATCGCCGCCAACAAGTTTTAAATAAGTGTTCATTAATTCATTGATTGGTTATACCATGTCGCTTGCTGTGATATAGGCCTAGGCTTGCTTTCAACAAATATTGGGCACCTAGCCTGAGACCAACATGACCAAGCTTGGCATAATTATGACGTTAGTAACAATACAGGCATGTATTAAGCATATGAATTATGGCTAGGCTAAAATGTTTTACTTAAATTAAATGTAACCATAGTTACCAAACACGTGTCATGTGAGGATAATCCACTGTTACTGTTCAGTTATTCATTATCAGATCCTGTTCATGTTCCATGATGACTTATTTACTACTTTTGCCCTGATTTTGCTACTGTGGTCCTGTTTTGGCTTCTATGCCCGGCTGAACCTTTTCCCCATATATACCTCAATTATTCATCTTGAGCTCAATTATAGAATACAGGGCCACTCCAACAGTCTTGTGTTGTATGTACGTGGCTTGGGCATGTTGGGAAGATGTTTTTCCAAAGGGACAGGGAAGTCTGCGTATCAGTTGGCCTGCATTCCTAACTTGGACTAGCTTTTTAATTTTCTCCCCCTCCCCCAAAAAATAAATTGTGAAGTGATTTTTTACAAAATTATTTTTTAAAATTGAGGAAGTTTGTCAATTTTATTTCAATTACAGGAATTTGATATTTCAATTTTTCCTTCAGTTTTCCCTTGTTGTTTTGCTGGGGGGGTATTGGGTGAGTTGTTTTGCTGGGATTTTGATACTGTTCATTGGCACAATAAATAGTTTTATGTCCCAATTGCTTTTTCTTTCTCCCCAAGATGCTTGATGAGCTGCTGGCATCAAGCTCCACCGATGACAACTCCAGTTTGTCAGATTCCCCTTCCGAGCCCATGGAGACAGAGGAGTGTATTCCATCTGATGTAGAAAGTTCCGATGTGGTAAGAGAGAAACTTCAACAGTTGACTTCATGACTATGAAAGCAAGATTTGTCCTTTGCAAAGGAGACATTATACTACAATTAATATTTTGGTCATGGATATTTGAAAACAGTCAAATAATTAGATTTCAAAATTCGGTACTACTTTAAATACATGTTGGTCGGTGTTTCACCAGTGCAAGGATTGGAATATAACTTACAGATACAAGTTTTTTTTGTTTTTCAGAACAAGCACAACTTGGGCTCATCTACACACATGGTGCCAATGAGGTCAAGATGCCAGATGAAGACTGTGGGCATAAGTGGCTACGCGTGTGAAACGTAAGAATAAATTATTGAAACAATGACAGAAAAATCAGGGGTATACATTTTGCTTGGCCTAATAAGACCCACATGTGTCCAAGGAATGATAAAAGTCTTTACTTTTATTTTAATCAAAAATAAGTCGCCAATTATTGCTTTTACTCAGTTTTTTTAATGATAATATGCCATATGCCAATATTTTACTTCATACAGCTGTGCAGGCAACAGAGCGCACAAGAAGCCAAGGCATGTTGGCTAAGGAACCCACGACTTCCACTGGTGTCATGTGCAAGCTGTTAGATGATGGCCCTGATGAGGAGAGTAGCAGCTCTGACGAGGAGGAAAATAGCCAGTCACAACCTGAGTCTCCTGGTTATACACCTGAATCATCTGGATCATCATCAGGGTACCCCTCCACTCCCCATAAGAAAACAAAAAGACCCATCAAATGGTAAATTGTATTCCTCATTATTAATGTATGTCATAGGTGTGAGCAATAGTAACCAGGTGAGGAAAGTAAGATTAAACCTACATGTACACTTGCACGTTTACATGTACATATATATTTATTTAATAGGAAAGAATTCCTGGCATAGATGCCTCATTTCTTACTATGACTTGAAAGGGACCAAAACTTTTAAATGTAATGATAGAAAAATTTCCACTTATTCTTCAAAAATACTTTTTTTTCTGCATGGCCCAGTAACTCTGCAGGACGTCTGAGTGGCATCCACAGAGGGAATTATTTCCATTTAATATTCTAGGTTATTGTTATTTTTCTTCAACAATTTCTTTTGAATGTTTTATGCAGGAAAAGAGGGATGAGCCTACATGCAGTGGTAGACTATGCTGAAATTGGCGGCATGAATGCCTATACAGAATGCAAGTATATTGTGTGTGCGTCCAGACTGTTTCCTCTACTAAAGAGATGCTTTGGTTGCGGATCCTATGATGTCGTCATCAGGCAAAGGGAGATTGGCACCCTGCTGTCAGTAACCCAGGAGTGCTGAAGTTGCAGTCTGGGGCAGCAGATCTGGGAGAGCCAGCCATGGTTCCAGAACATTCCATCTGGCAACATCCTCTTGTCAGCTGCCACACTGCAAATCCTCAACAATCTGAATGTGGCCTGCACGTCGAAGAGGACATTCTACAATCACCAGGTAAGCTTTCTGCAGCCGCTCATTGAGAAGAAATGGAAACCTCCAAATATGTCAGGGAGGAGATGCCTGCTATCCTACAAACATATGATGTATGGCACGTAGCTACGGGGAAACAAATTTTTCTCTGTCACGAATTGGTTCTGAAAATTCGAAAACACACTTTACATTTCTCTCAATGTCTCTCTTTATGGAACAGTAAACAGTGGATTAACATTTTAAATTTTCTTTTTCATTTAGCAATCTTGAATGGTCTTCATTTATTACTGTTTTGTTTTCTTCATTTGTGTGGAAGATAATGAAGCAAAACGCCGACATATTCTCGGTTATTCCCTCCCCCCCCAAAAAAAATTATGATGTACTTTGCAGCGGTGGAAAAGAAGATGCACAGCCTTGCCAAGAAGAAGGAGTGTAAGGAAGTCAGCCAATGGGAGAAGAGTGTGAGCAATCATGTATACTGAGTGGCAGCCTCAACCACAGATGAGGGGGAACTACGTGTTGCAAAATGGATGTCTCTCACCAACCACATCCAGGACATGCACCATGGCCATTCGGACATCTTCCCCAACTGTTTGCACCGAAGAATCAAAGATGGAAAACGCAAGAAAAAATGGTTGAAATCTGGTAATGCAATTCATCCCTGTTTTATTTGCCGAAGTGACAAATTTATAATCCATTATAACTTTGTTGCATGGGAAATTTAATTACACAGGAAGGTAGAGTAGAAGTACTAATAAAAGTCATTTTTAAAACAATTTTTATGCCAGGAAGTGTTCTTGACAGAAATCTCGGCTCAGTATTGATACTCAAAAGGTTTTGTAATATTAAATGACCAAAACAGGAATTTTATTTTAAATACAGGTACAGAGGCATGTGTACAAGTGTGTGGTGTGATTGAAAAGGCTAGCCTGGTCAAGGATATTCGGAAGATGTTGAGCTCACAACAGACCTTATCACTGGAGTCCTTCCAAGGTCTCATCAACCAGTCTGCACCAAAGATGAAAGCTTTTTCACATGCGGGCATCATCAGCAGGTGAATAATTATTAGCTTTCAACAGTTCTCTCCTCTTTTGAATGCCCGAGTTGAGGAGCTTTTTCAAATTGTATACAGTTCAGTTCATGACCATAACCATCTTGGGTCTCCTCAAGAATGTGACCAGTCAACATGCACAACCCACCCTAAAATTAAACCAAATTATTTTTGTACGTTTCAAAACCTGGTACATGTCGCTGTACATTTTTGTTAGGCACTTGATGCCAACTAGCATATGAAATAAATGTGAACACCTTTCTTGAGAAACTCACACATGTAGTATCCCTAAATATATTCAAAGAAATTCGTTCTCACTTGAAGCTTTATTTTCTTCCTGCATGAAAGGCTTCACCTTGCTGCACTCCACTACAATGAAAACAGCGACAGACAGCAGGCCACAACACAAGAAGGAGTCAAGTGTTACTGCCTCAGCAAACTTAAATACAAGAAGGGGGATGCCACAGTAAAGTCAATCAAAGATCAGTCAAACAAAATAAAATACAAATCCACTGTTATTCCACTTATATATTTTTTTCTCTAGAATAAAAAGAATTAAAACCACCTTTGATTTTTAAGGAAACAATGTAAAAACCAATGTGATTTCATCTCTTGAAATACAGCATATGTGGCAGACTTGATGGGAGAGATAGCAAGACTTGCTAACAAATCATCAAAGAAGACGAAACAGAAGAGGAAGAAGGCACCACCAAGCTTGGCCAATAGGTTCACCTATCCAACAAAACCAGAACTCATGGAACAGACCTGCAGTCGATTCAGTGTCAAGTAAACAGCGCCAAGGACAGTTTTCAGGAGAACAAGAGGTCTCTCTGAAATTTCTGACAGATCAGTCACCTCAGTTGAGCGCCAACTTAACGGGCATGTGCTGTGCAAGAAACACGCATTTGGAACATTTTCCCACACTGCGCAAAGCTTGCTTGCTGGCATAAAATATCCAGTTGCAAGATCCTAAAATTCGTTTGAAAAACGTGTGCTCTGCTGCGGCAAAATGGGCACCTGATAAAAATGATATATGTCATGTACATGTAATGATGTACAAAACATGCACATATGTGTACATAAACATGTACACTGTCTGTATAAAAAATAAAAACCCTACAAATTGTATGCGATCTCCGTCTTTGCCCGACACAAGTTGCTCACTACGAAACATCTCGGTAAAACTTTCACAACTTGGCCTCATACCGCTGACACAGTTCTATGCTTTTTCACAATGGCGTGGTAAATGAAATGGCACCTTAACAGTTTTCAGAGAAACACTTTCTTGGTTCCCTTACAATTTTACAAAATAAGGTCTATAATGTGATCTTCACAAGGCTAAAATTACCAGTTGACGTTGCTGAGCCGTCCTTCATCGTCGTAGTCAACACCGGGAATTTCATGTTCACCGTCACCATCGTCGCTTTCACTGTCAACCTCTGGCTTCTATATACCGTACACAGCAGTATCTGGCCGGCCTCAACACTGTTGTCATCCTCAGAAAATGCTTCATCGAAAACATCACGATCTACACTTTACTGTCTGATGATGATTCTGACAAACTTATTCAATTGGCCATTTTTTTCGTTGGTGGAAGTCTCATGGACACGTGTATGTTTATATGTGTGTACAAACGGATGGTATGTTGTGCGATCAGTGAGCAACTTCAACCAGCTGATGATGTCATCAACTGATCTGTGGTCCCCAGCCGAAAGTGTTTTTTGGGGTGGGCGGGGCACGCTAAATAATTTTTTCCTTTTTAGGGTCGTTGTTTACAGGATAGATATTAAAATAGAGTTTATGAAATGGTTCAGCCTTTATTAACTCTTACAAAAGTTTTCTTGATATTATTTTTATTAGCTTTTTATTTCAAGTACCCTTTAACACAAAGGACTGTACAGGTAAGTTATACCTGATACAGTATTGTCAGGAAGGGTGGGTAAGACAGAAATTAAAGGATACACCTCCTTTTCAAAGTTATCAAATAGAATCCCGTTGAATTACTGGTAACATGGCGCAAAAATGACGCATCACATGTACACAGACTCCTTACCAATCAGACCCAATTAAACTGTCTCTTATCCTTGATTTGCGCAGCGGGCGTTATCACTTGTCCATGGGTATTATCAAATGTTAATACACGGTCATGTGATGCGTTTTGCCCAATCGGAATAGAAAAACTGTCCTAGGTATTTATGAACGCACTTTGAAAGGGTGTATCTTATTGTAATATCTTTTTTCATGTGTGTGATTTCGTGTGTGATTTTCTGTGTAACTAATTCCAATTTTTAATGAATTTTAAATGTGGTCATTGCGGCACACATGTAAGTTTTCCATTTTATTTTTGAAAATGGACAATAAACATAACAATAATAGTAACTGCTCTGAATCCAATCTTGAAATCCTGAAATAGTATTAGTTTTAAAACGAAAAGGGCAATTTTGATCTGAATTTGATTTAATGTGAATCCTGTATTAGACTGCAATAGTTTCTACAAACAATTCATGCTATTTTCAATAGGAATGTTTTGCATTCCTTGCATCAAACATCAACCTTCAAGTAAAACTGGCATCTGGATGAAGAATGGAGGCAAGACCTACAAAGAACTGGCAAGAGAGCAAGAAATCAACTCCGCTACACGCCAGGTTTCAGTCCAAATTGAGGCAGATTTGACTGCATCACTCGCAAGTGGTGGGATCATCACAGCAATTACAAAACCATTTCTCTTGAGCAACATGTTTTCCCTCACTTCACTTCACGCCAAGTATTGGCTGTTGAAGAATGAAATTGCTCAAAGTTTCAACTTTGCGTCCCTGTTGCAGCTGCTTCAAAATGTTGGATGCCATTACTTGGAAAGCCTCCAATAAGTAAACGGACAAATTACATGTCAGAGAGGAGGATGCAAGAAATTATTCTTAACATAGGTGAGTATTTGGGTTTGTAATGTTACATTCAGCCAGCCTATACATTTTTATCTTGCAGCAAAAACTGATTTTACAAAGAAGATTTTACAAAGTGGCTAAGAGATTCCATTTCAATTGCCAACGATTAAGAGATCAGCAATGACTGAATTTTGGCACTATGTTTCTGGCTCTTTAATTCTATTAAACACTGAAAGAGATTTACAACTGAAAACAAGGGAGGCATATGACAATTGATTTTAAGCCTATTAATAGTATAAACTTATCAGTTTTCAATGAATTGCTACTTGAAATGCTACATGCACTTGAATTATACAGTCAGTGTTTGGTCTCTCCATTGCTCCATAGTCTCTCCGAGAAAAAATACTTGCCCTTCTAATTTTCTCAAGTTGATAAATAAAGATTAAGAAATTTCCGAAAGAAAAACAACAGAATTTCAGTTGCATCATGTTGTTGCCTCCTTATCCGTGATGCGAAGTATCAGCTCAAACAACTCAAACGCCACTCCTCAGTCCTCACTCACCTCAGTATTTCATGACTCGAGCATGGCAGAGCCTAGGGGAGAAATACATCTAGAAGCAAAGTCTTCCAAAAAGAAAATGACATTAGTGGTGTGGACCTACAATGTACTTCAGATTTGAGCCCGACAAAGATGGTGGAGCGCCCAAGAACAAAAGGAACAACAACATACATGTACACGTATAGTACTTCGTCTGCATCAAGAGCGCCAGCTGTAGATCTAGGAGCATCAATACCGATAAGTATGAACAACCCACAACAACAGAAGCTTCCTACCAATCAATCAAGACAGAGCCCCGATGGAGAGTACAAACGGAAGCTGTGATGTATTTCCTTGCCAAGGACATGCTTCCTATCTACACTGTCGAAAAGCCAGGATTCAGAAACATGTTATGGAAGTGTGATCAACACTATGAGTTGCCAGACTGCACAGGTTTGGTATTAAAGGGTGCTATTCCACAGAGTATACACCAAAGTTAGGTCCTGGAGGAACTACAAGCAGAAGATTTATTCTCTGCCACAACAAATATGTGGTCAAGCTCCAATATGGAGCCCTACATGAGCTTCACAGTTCACTACCTTCCGTCCTTTCTGCTGGAGAACCACACTGCAGAAAGTCTTGTCGATGTTCTCCAATTCACAATGGAACAACAGAGCCAACATTATGGCCACAATCTGACAGATTGGCCATGGTTGAATTGTTTTGGCCACAACCTGAACTTGAGACTCTTTGTATGATCAGGAAACAATACAGGACTGGATACACATGGCCGCCTTTCTGAACTCACGCCACCATACTAACAACATGACAGAAGACCACACTTGAGCAACAAAGGCCATGGTCATGAATAAGATAACATCTATGGGTGAACAAGCCACACCAGCACCTGACTGATGTCATGCATGAAGAAGCAGAAAAATCATCAATACCAGTGACACAGTTCAAACATCACCAGCACCTAAGAAGTGTAAGCTGTCCATTGGAGGCATTCTTGCGAAGGAGCACAAGGACAACCTGCGCATGCCAAATGCTCAGCAGACAGATGTTGAACTGGAACATTACTTGGCGGTTGATGTTGTAGATGGGGAAATGGACTGTGTCATGTGTTGGCTAAGCTACATGTGTCTGTGTATCTGTCCTACAAGTTCACCATCTGAACGGTTGTTTAGCACTGCAGGACATATAGTAACACAGGCAGTTGATGACGCTGGGGAAGTATCCTGGTGATTGAAGGGCTTAGCTTAAAGAATCTGCTTGGCCCGCAACCTCGAATTATCAGGCTGGGGCCCATTATCAACCGAGTATTTGAATGGCTCTGTTTACAGGTCTATCTTTTTTACAGGTCCACTTTTGTTCACTGTTAAGAGCTGACAATATGACACAACAACCCAAACTTTTTCCCAAGATTGCAGGGACATTTCCTGATAAAGTCTCTGATTTTAAAACATTCAACAGTATGCTGTTAATGGAATACATTGTAATTCAATGTCCTCCTCCTCCTGAGGGCTTAAACGCATGGGGCACTGCAGAGGGCAAAGAATCAAGATGCTACTCCAAGGAAGCCACCTGCAAAAAGGCTACACTTCTTAAGAAGTGAGAGTACCAACTTACTTCAGAAGTCGACAATTTTGCCGGCCACCTGTATCACCTGCAAGAGAGCAGACAAGTGGATAACCACCAGTGGCCGTGATGTTTCAGATACATGTAAGTTACAAAGACACTGAAACATGACGGAGGTAAAGGAAAATATTCCTGCTGCAGTTTTTTGCAACAGGCCTTCAGACAGAGCCGGCAGAGGAAATATCTCCAATCTTTTTCAGTCACTTTCTCAACCTTTTTTTTTGTTTTGACCGTTGATGGTATGTTGTGCCTTTGGTTCATTTCCCTGACAAGTAAACACAGATGATTTCTTTGACATAGTATTCTTTGGCAATGATTCAGTAAAGACTTGCTATGCAAAACAGTGCCAGTGAAAACTGAATGTGCTTGCTTTGTGATAAAAGCAGCTCCTGTCTTGAAGTACATGTACACTGCCATCAAATCTGCTATACAAGAACTACACAGTAGTCAATCCAACACATAGACCCCATCACTCATCGGGATTGTAAGCTGAATGTTAAAGGTTTAGTATTTGTGCTTTGGGATATGACACTTTTCAATACATTATAAAGCTGTTCCTTTTTCCTTGCATTTGTTTTGGCTTGTTTTTTTCCCCAGAAATCCAGACACAGTTTGACACTCACTACTGTTGACTTAAATCAGACCCCAGGTAAGAGTGCTGAAATACAAGGTTCTGCTGATAACAAAAGAATTATTTAAGTCAAACCCCTTTTCAATTTTTTTCTACAGATAACATGTTATAACAAGGTAATCTGCCAAGTCCAAAAGAGTTTTTATTATTGCGATTTGACTGTATTTGACTTTCTTCAAGGGAAGAAGCACTTGACCTTGCATGTCAAAATGTTCATTAATGATTACTTGAAAGCACTTGAAGAGCTTGGAGCTGACTATACTCTAAGTTCAGAACTGATATCTGCTTGAGGAATTTGTATGCAACCTGTATCGTCATAAAGATGTCAACAAAACCAAGTACCGCTCATTCTGTGCAAATCTTCAGTAAAATGCCTCCTTGTAAAGATACACGGATTCAGCACATCAGACGTTGTGCTTACCAGACAGTTATTGGTAGAAGAACCATTGTAGCCATCACTGAACCTCCATCACCACATCATGGGTGGATTGTCAAAGATGACAATATCAAGGTAAAGTGAATGACCCAGCTCCTGGTCCCCAAAAGCCTGATGGAGGTGCTGTAGTTGCATGTGGTTGGAAGACAAGCACCTATGGCTTAAGGAAGATGCTTGTGCTAAAGGAGCAACCTCAAGTGTATGGATCTATGCAACAAAAAGGATGATGATGACAATGGCAATAATTATGACGATGTTGCCCCTGGGGTAGATTTTGGAACAGATTTAATTGCATAGTTTTCCTACCATCCACCAAACCAAAGTACTAGAAAATGTAATTGTTGCAAACTTGGTGACAAATACATGTGACAAATGCAAAGTAACAAATACATGTGACAAATACATGTACATGGGTTTGTCCACGAAGTTGGGATTTCCTCATTATGTGCCAGATCATAGGGATTGAAATGAGTTTTACTTGGTGAAGTACACATGAGTACCATGGATGGGTGTTTTATTAGGAAGACCTAATGTTAAAGTATGCTTGAGTAAAAAATAAAATACTTTGATGGCTTGTAAAATAAAAAAATAGGAAAAACTGTTGGTGTCTAGCATCAATTTTTAATAACGAAGTGTGACATGCAAAAACACATTTTTAAATTTTTTTTTTCTCGAACAAAAAACAAATTAAAAAGAAAAAACACAGACAGGGTACGGTTTAACATCGTTTGTCCTTAATGAAAAACAAAATATGTCGGTGTGGTCACTCATTTTCAATAACGGAGTCGGCAAATTTGCCCCTGCCGATGCTATGCGCGGTGTCCACGAATAATTATAACGTAACATCGGGAGTCGGCAAATTTGCCCCTGCCGATGCTATGCGCGGTGTCCACGAATAATTATAACGTAACATCGGTATTGATCGTGGAAGTCTGATTTGTGCAACAGATTCCACTGATTTTTTAAACCCACAAATAAGGCGAATATGTTACAAACGAGGTTTAATTAATAAAATTTCGACATCCTTGCAAATTTTCACTGTACAACCGAAAGTATAATCTGCTTTCTATGCGGTGTCCACTCCGGAAAATGTAGCGTTGATACAATTTTCGCGATCCATCCAAAAATATCCTACCCTTGCTGAGAATGGTTCAGCTCCAGACGAACTGCCACGTCACGGATAGTGTGTGGAACACAGCACTTGGGATTTTCCACGCCCGTGGAAACAGAAATTTGTCTGTGAATGAATGAAATACAAGCTGCTAAGAAAAGAGAGCAAAGGGCTAGACTATCAGATCAGAAAAAACAACAGATTTTGGATAGGAGACGCCAAAAGAGACGTGGAGAAAAAGAAGAGTGCATCAGGCAGCAACAGATGATTCAGGAACAGAAGAGAGAAATTTTGGAAGCACAAGCAGAGAGCAAACGATTAGAAGAGGAAGAGAAATGATTAGCGGAAGAGGAGAAACGCTTGCAAGCAGCATGGCAACAATTAGAGGACATGGGACAACATGAGGAAAGATCACAAGATGCAAGACGCCAGAGCCTCAAATGAGCCAGGTCTTCCCTATCACAAGACCCTAAAATATACGCTGAAACAGTTGAAGATCTCGTGCAAACAGCATCCCCAAGGAAGAAGCGTCTTCTTCATGAGAAGGGCATCATAACTGATGTTGCAACAAAAATCATCTACACCACTGTGTCACAAAAGATGAGTAGCCTACGAAAGAGCAGAAAGAAGAAAGACGGCGAGCTGAAGCGTATCTTCGCGCCAGCACTCCAAATTGCAAAGAGATACAGATGCCAGAAGAGAGTATGCGAAAAGCTCAAGACAACGGCGAAAACTCTGAAGCTACTCTCTTTCAAGCCACATGCTCGCCTACTTCTTAACAAGACAAAGCAGACCATTCAAAGATACCATGAGGAGAACTCCATGACACTTCCAGACAAGAAGTTGGTGAGTAAGAAAACAAAGAAAGCAACTGGATTCCTGACCATGACCATAAGGGCACTACATGGAAAATTTCAGAAAGACAACCCGGAGATGAAAGTTTGCTTGTCAAAATAAGCAGACTTGAAACCAGCACACATCAAGACCTGTCATTCAATCACATACAGAGGCTGTCTGTGTGAATATTATACATCTGGTATAAATTCCAAGAAACATTAACATACCGTAGGTCTTTGCAACTGGTACGGTGATGATCTCTAAGTTCATTGCCTTTTGTGTTGCAGCATAAAGCAATTCTTGGGCATTCATGAAGTGCAATTAACATAAAAGAAGGAGTTGTAAGACTTGTAAGATTGAAAACAGATGCTGCATGCTATTTGATACATCTCATTGTAGAAGCATGGTAATTTCTAGGCTATTGATTTCCATATTAATTTGAAGGCCGGTATATGTTTCATGTCAAATTTTCCTTTTAAACGTGTGCAATTTTTATGGTGCTAATACATGTATACATGTAATACTTTTTAGTCAGCCATCCTTAACTTAATCATTGAATGTGACTGAACTTGTGGCATTAGAGTGTATTTTAATGTGTGCTTGAATGTAGATTAATTGATACTAATTTTTAAGCCAAAGTAATTGCCATTTGTGTCCACAGGGTATTCACAGTAACAACACAGGTGCATCCACACATGCTGAGAAAGAGTTGACGTTTTCTGCAAAGTAGTGCACAAATTAACACAAATGAAATGATTGAAGAGACAATTTAGGTAGATAGGTATCACTATTATAGCATTTTGTGCAGTATAGTAAGTCTTTATTTGCAAGTGCTAAATGCGGTACACACCAAGGTTGACAATGATTTCATGATCTAACTTGCTGCTTAGTTCATGTAGTTAATACATTTAGAACTATTCTTTGACCACTGCA